TAGTTGTACAATAAAGTTGGGCAATGTTGTGGCTCGCAGTGATCATCTATATCAAATGTTAAATTGAACTCTAGAGTTCTTCAAAACTCTAATATCCTCCCAAGCTCATGTATAACACCCTTCTATATAGAGCATGTGAATTATTTATAGTTTTTTGTACTAATATTTTGATAAATCTTTCTTAAATCTTAAAATACCACATCAAACAAAACATATTAATTATTGCAATAATAAATTATATTCTCAGAAAATAAGCCCCTTATTAACTTTGAAATTAAGCGACATTGAGCTCATGTTTTCTCTTATTTTGAGGCTTAATCAGCTTATGCAAAATTTAAAAATTATTTGACCCATATAATTAATGTTTAAAAAAATTTTAATCATAATTAAAATATTTGATTTGTACTTATTTAAGCTTACAACATATCATTTTTTAGGACTCTTGGATTCATCTTGCAAGAGACTATAAATTTATTGAAAATAAAAGTTAAATAATCATGAATTTAATTTTTAAAATACTTCCCTAGAAATTGCATCAAAGTTTATATTTACTAAGAATAATTTTTTAATGACATATGATCATAATCTTCTTCTACTAAAGACATCATTTCACACCAATCATAATTTTAAAATAAATTTAAAAAGAAAAAGAAAAAGTTCCTTAAAAAGGTAAATCCACCATCCCTTGGCCCCATTTCTAAGTTAGTGGCTTACCTTAAAAGAAAGCTTTAAAAAGCCATGATCAACCACACCTATAATAATAATAATTATTATTTATTTATTATTTTCACTTATATAATAAATCATATTTATAAATATAATTATTTTAATTCATTTAAATGTGAATAATTACAACCATTACGACCGTTGCTAATTAAAAAAAATTCAAAAAATAAAAAAATTGAGGACAACTAATTGAAAAGAGTTAAAGAGAGAGTAGGCATGGAGAAGCACAGCTAGTTAGAGAGAGAAAGGCTGAAGCAAAGAGGCGGTAGGGAGAGAGAAAAACCCTAGATGGGCATTCCAAAGCCCTGCTCTCTCTCAATTTCAGCCCCACAACCGATTCTCATATTCCCGACGACGATTCTCCTGACTCTACTCTCCCTCCTCGCCGGCACCTCCGCCGCCACCATCTACGATCTCATCTACAAGGGCTGCGCCAACCAGCAGTTCCCCGGCGGCGGGGTCGGCGGAGCTCAGCAGACCCTCTCGTCACTCTCCTCCACCATCATCTCCCAATCCGCTTCCTCCAAGTTCTACAAAACCACAACCTCCTCCTCCTCCAGCCAACCCATATTCGGCCTCTTTCAATGCCGCGGCGATCTCAGCTCCTCCGACTGTGCAGCTTGCGTCGCGAAGGCAGTTCAGATGTGGAGCTCTCTGTGCGGCGCCACGGTGGCCACGCGCATCCAGCTCGCCGGCTGCTACGCGCTCTACGAGATATCTGGATTTCCGCAGGTATCGGGAACGCAGATGCTTTACAAGACCTGCGGTTCGGGTGGTGGCGGAGGGGTAGGGTTTGAGGAGAAGAGAGACACTGCTCTCTCGAGCTTGGAGAACGGGGTGACCGGCGGAGGAGGATTCTTCGCGACCAGTTACCAATCGGTTTATGCCATGGCGCAGTGTGAGGGAGATCTGTCTTCAGCTGACTGTGGTGAGTGTGTTCAGCAAGCTGTACAGAAGTCACAAGTCGAATGCGGAGGGGCTAGCTCCGGCCAGGTTTATCTTGATAAATGCTACATTAGCTATAGTTACTATCCAAATGGAGTTCCTCGCGGCGGCGGCGGCGGGAGTGGGGGGGGGGAAGTGGGGGTGGCGATGGAGGTAGGTAGGCATGCATGGTGATTTTGGGTTGACTTTGTAAGCGAATTTTGTTTGGATCTTTAATATGGATCTTCATTTTTTGAATCTAGCTGTGCTTTTTACCTACTTCTGAAGGTTTCAAGTTTGGTTGTGAAATTAAAATTTTGATTGTTCTGAATAATTTGTGCAAATGTCATAATTTGGATTTTCTGCAGCTCATCTTGGTTGCTTGGTTGGCAGCTTAGGCTTCGAACTAAGAGCTCTCTGATTCGAAGCCTTATGTATGCTGTGTATATGAGCTTATGATCAAATTTGCTTAAAAAATCCCATAAAAAATCTGAATGTTCTTCGGTTTTAAGTTCTGGTATTTGCTTCTTGGTTTCCTCAATTGTTTAGTGTGGATTAAAACAAAAAACAACATTTTTTTCACTGTTTCTTTCCAGTTAAATTCTTCTAATTCTTATATGGTTTGATTTCTTATAGTTCTTTAATTATTCACAAATTAGGAAAGGAGAAGCTCTTAGGCTTATCTAAATCTTTTTAAAAATAGAAAATTTATTGATTCTAGTGAACTGCAGACAAATTATTAAATTTACACTGTTTTCTTCCACCATGGAAATCTGAAGCTTTCTCTTTCTTCTGGTCGCTGTTGAATCAGGTCAGCAAACAGGGAAGACGGTGGCCATTGTAGTGGGAGGGGCTGCAGCTCTGGGATTTCTGGTCATCTGCCTCCTATTTGCCAGAAATCTAATGAAAAAGAAAGATGGTGAGCATTTATTTAAACACTAAGCTTATGCTCAGATAGAGATACTTCTGTTTATACCCATTGATGTCGCTGTTACCAGATTATTAATTATAGATTATTAATTATTAAAAGTGTGATTTGTTTTTGTATTAATTAATGCCTTACTATTCATATAAACAATAACAAGGTAGGTGCCACATCAATTTCTTCTATTTGAGGTGATGTAATTTTTTATAAATAAACAAAGAAGTTTGAATTCCTCAGATCATATGCCCTATACTTTTGATTATGTTTGCAAATAAAATATTTCTACAAGATCTAATTATATTCAGGCGAGCTTAAAAATTTCATTTTGAAAAAGACTTTCACTTAAAAATAGGATATTTGAGTCAAACTAAGATGATTTCATGGAATCATTATGTCTGGATGAAATAATTTCTCTCTTTCTATATTTAAACAAAAACTATATTTTTGGAAATGTGATGAAGGAGTTGGTGAAGAGATATGATGTGTTAGGTAATATTTTATTGATTAAAATAAAATTTCAAGTTTATTTTTTTGTTTCATGTTAATGATTTTATAGTAATTTAATTAAAACTTTTAGTTTTAAGGCTTTCTGATTCGTGGTTATCTGCAGATTTTTGAAGCTCTTGGTCTTGGTGCTGACAGGTTGGGGAAAAACCACAATTTGAAAGGAGAATGAATGTTTTTTGTGGGAGACAGAGGTGAGTTTTTGGTCTTTTCTTTAAGCCATGTGGAGTTTGTCTACCCACCATCAGAATTGGGTCCAAGTGGGAGTGAGGGGGAGGGAGGGAGGGTAAGTAGAGAAAATTATATTTTGTTCTCTCTCCAGTTTGGGCTCACTGTTGAAGATTCTCTATGTTTCATATAAATTTTCTCTCTTTTCAATGAGATGAAAATGAACAAATCTGAAATATTGATGGAATTTTTTTGGGATTAAAGAGGGTTTTCTTGTGATAATTAGCTTATGTGTGATGAACATTCATATTGTGGTCAGTGTTAAACCAAACCAGCTTTGCTATTTCACCAACATATTTTGAGGTTATTTTTTGGGGGGAAATGGTTAATGTCTTATATTGGTTGTCTCCCTCTTTCTTTAATTTTTTCTATTCCTTACAATCTCTTCTTATGTCTTTCTTCTTTTCTTTCCTTTCCTTTTTTGACTGTATGATATTGACTTCATGCTTAGTGTGATGTGGATTAGATGTATTAGATGCCATGAATGATGCACTAGGCATGGTAGTACATCAAGTGTGTGCACTTCTATTTTATTATGCTCAATAATGTTATCATTCTAGATGAGGAGAGGCAAGGCTGGGCTTCTTTTTTTCTCAGTTCTTTTTTCAATGCCAATGAAGTTAAGTTAATGGTAGAAAGGTGGTTGGAGAGGGAGATAATAAGATGGGAAAATAAACATGATGTGGCGGCTACGGCGACGGCTAGGGGTGTAAACAAGTCGAACTCAAGTGAGCCCGGGCTTAGCTTGTTAAAAAATATCACTATTTGTGGTCAGCTCGTTTATATTTCCAACGCAAAAAATTTGCCTGTGTTTTTAGCTTAGCGAGCCGAACACGTGTTGCTCGCGAACAAAAGGCCGTTTTGACAAATCTAGCATGCATGCAATTGTTAAGGGTGTAAACGAGCCTAGCTTGAGTGAGTCCAGACTCGGCTTGTTAAAAAAATATCATTGCTCGGGTTCGATTCGTTTATATATCGAGCTCAAAAAATTTGTTCGTGTTTGACTCACTTGCTTATCGAGACGAACACGTAAAAAAATATCATTGCTCGGGTTCGATTCGTTTATGTATCGAGCTCAAAAAATTTGTTCATGTTTTGACTCACTTGCTTATCGAGACGAACACAAGTTGTTCACAAAGAATAAGCTATTTTGACAACCTTAATCATATAGCCGTAGGATATTAAGGGTAGAGCGAGATTTAAATCTCATTATTTACATCAAAATATTTATTTAAATAGAATTTAATATTTTATATTCTATTTTTATTTAGTAATTTTAATTGATTATAAATTTTTATAACCTTGTAGCCAATTAAATTATTTAAAACAAATACACATTAATAATAGATACATATATAATTATTTCAAGCTAAAACTAGCCGAACACAAATGACAATTTTTTCCTATTATTTAAAACAAATACACATTAATAATAGATACACATATAATTATTTCAAGCCAAAATTAGCCGAACACAAATGACAAAATTTTTTCCTTGGCTTGTTTATATTTCGAACGCAAAAAAATTGTTCTTGTTCGACTCATTTGCTTAGCTGATGAATCAAATACGAGCTATTTATCTAGCTAAACACGAGCTGTTTGTGAATAGTGAGCCGTTTTGATAGCCCCAACAAGACGGTGATAAGAAAAGTAGTGGTTGGACAGTGGGGGTATAGTTGAGTCAAGTTGATTCGACGAGCTTGTTTTATTTCTTTGTCTCTTGAGATGGCTCATTTCAAAATATTAATATAAAATACACTTAAAATATATTTGAATTCAAATATATAAATATAAAGTTATTAAAAATGTTTAAAAATGATATTTCCTTGATTTTCTTAATTATTTTTGTTCTAATAATAATATTATTTTTATTATTGTCATTTTAGCATATCATCTTGGTGAATTGAAATTATGTTCTCTTTTTACATAGTGGATGAGCAAGCAAGAGAGCTGATTTGTTATCCTCTAATAACTCACATATACACACAATGCTTTTATGCCAACCTAAAGGATGAGGGTTAAATGATGCCTCTTTTATGGTTATAAATATTTAAGGTAACTTTTTATAATTACATTTATAAATAAAATATTAATCAGTAAAAATTTAAAAAATTATGAAATCTTCAAATTTAAAGGTAGTGATCCAATTTGATCGTGAACTTTATACAACCCACAAAACTTAGAAAAGAGATTCATCAACACGTATTGTATGCAAAAACATGGTGGGATTTTTATTTTAGATAATTATTTTTAGTTAAAGAAACACTCAAGTTTCATTAATGATGATGCTTCCTTGAATCTCTTTGATCATTAGCTCTCTAACTCCATGAATTTATATTTAAAAAACTAGCACTCTTTCTATTTGGCCAAGTTTTCATGATTTCATTAGAAACTCTAGATGAACATGATTCCTTTGTCCTACTGCATCATTTTTTTATATCGACAAAAAAAGAGTCATTATTTAAGAAAAAGGAAAGGTTAAATTTTTACATAATGGTAGCTCTAAATATAATTTATGGTGATAATATAAATTTTTATTTATATCGACAAAAAAAGAGTCATTATTTAAGAAAAGGAAAGGTTAAATTTTTACATAATGGTGGCTCTCATATATAATTTGTGGTGATAATATCAATTTTTACAATAAACAACTTGCATCATTTCTGTTTTTTAATAATCTTCTTAAATATAGTCTCCAAACGATCAAGTGCTTTTTGAGACATTTATGAGTTTCTGCAGAAAGCACGTTAATATGAAAAACTAATTGAGGGGAAGGAGTATGAAGATTTACAACAGTAAGATATACTAACTCTCCAAAAAATAGGAGAAGATTTTTGGCAAGTAAAATTCTTAGGACACCAACATATTAAGGATAAAAGAAGATACCAAATAACCAAGATTGCATTCATTGTTTCAACCAACTCTCATTGCCACTTGAAGTGTGTTCATTTTCTCATATTTTTTTTTAATTTTGAATATGTTTCAACTTTAATCTCTAGAGTATCTCTTCTTGATGTACCTCTCCCTACCATGAGCAATTTTTTGTTTTATTTTCTTAAGATTAGCTTGACTCAATGGGAGGCTTCTTTTCTTTATACCCTTGACAACATAGGGATACTCTATAGCATATTCTATGGAAGATGTAGATTATAACAGCGAAAGATTTTAAAATTTATTAACGGAATGTGTGATTTGTTTTTCTGTCTTCTCCTCTTCTCTATTTATTATTTAGTAACCTTTAGGAATAAAAAATTTTAAGCTTCATATTTTGAGAATCCCTAATGCATACTTTATCCTATAGACAAGACAAGTCAACTGCATAACCTTAGTTCATAAGGTCAACCAAATAAAGTTGTCAATATTGTTGCAAGCTAGCACGATCATATATGAGGAGCTTCTCATTACATTAATTATTAAGAGGCTATTTGGTTTGTTGCATTATATGTGTAATGCTTTCATTTTCGGTGTCTGGTTGAATAATAATAAAAAAAACAATGTAATGATATATTTGAAGCTCACTCTTTAGCTTAATTTTCATATTTAAAATATAATCAATTTAGCTTATTTTTAAATACATTGCACAATCAATCACCATATTAACTTGTTGCTGCCCCACCACTGATCGGGATTTCAACAATAGCTTATTACTTGTTCCCTGTTGCCCGACATGCTTCCTATTGCCCATCATCACCATTTTCGATCTATCATAGTAACGTTAGGATTCACTCTTTTTTGTTTCTTTCATTTTTGTACTCTTACAAAAAAAATATTGCTCAAAATTCAGAAAGATCATTATTATTATTATTTTTTAGATTTTTCCCTCATTGCCCTTCGCCTTAACACTATAAGCAGACTCACATTTTTTTTGTAGACTCATTATATGGGGTAAAAACTATGTTGTAAGAACTCAATCATCGAAGGCTTCAAGGTTTGCAGCAAGGCTCTGGTCCTTATTAAAAAAAATGACAACCACCATCATCAAATACACTAAACTTGGAGGCAATTGAAGCTTACAATTACTACGATGAGGTTCTAGTCAACCCTTAAATAAGTCATTGACTATACTCATTGAATGGATAAATTTAGAGGTCAACAAAGCTTATAATTTCTATGGTGAAAATTCAATATTCCTATAAAAAAAACATCTATTATCCTCTGAGGTCAAACCAAATATGAAGGCAATCAAAACTTGCATTCTCAGTGATGGTGATCTAGTCTTTCTTTGAGAAATATGTATACTATTCATATCTAATGAAGTAGACTTAGAGGTGATCAAGACTTGTAATTTTTACAATATACCTCAGGTCTTTTCTTGAGAAATGTGCTAACTTTTCTTTTAAGGTAAATCAAATTTGGAGATGAGATTTGTTGTCTTTCTTTGAGGGTCCAAAATTTTTTGTAGTTAGATGATTTTACTTAAATTTTGAAAAAATGATAGCAGGGTGGTAGGCAATATGATGATTAATCATTAATTATGTGTTAGGAATCACTACAAAAATTTGTTCCTACAAAAATTTACAAAGCTAGTTAAGTACTCTAGTTCCATTTAAAGATTATGATTAAGCTTTTCACTTTATGAAAGTGGTAGTGATTATTTTCTTCTTAAGAATGACCATTTGCTTATGCATGCTTCCCTCATGGATTTTTTTATGCTAGATTCCATCATTTTGCTTTTTTAGAGAATTTCTATTTTTTACTACTTTGGTACATGGATCTTGACATTATGATGTATGAGAAATTTTTATCGCCTAATGAGTCAAAAAAAAAACTTTAAAATTTTTTATGGTTGAAGAAGACGTCATTGGCCATTTCCATGAATTTTTTTTTCAAAGACAATTTTCTAATTGCAGACTTAAGAATTTATTGTGGCTTGTATGTCAGATTTAATAACTTAAACATTTTTATGGAAGCTTCTACTCAATATGCTTCAAAAACAATTTAAAATTTTGCTTGACTTAATTGTTTCTAGAAATATTTTTGAATTAACGTATGTCTGTGAATTTTTGTTATGTGTTGATATCATAAATATTTTTGTTTGATATATTAAATGGATGAATTTTCTCATGCCACTCTTACATGTTTGTGAAGATAGAATAAGAGTAAGGATTGTATATTAAAATTAGAAGTGATGACTTTGATGACCTCATACATGAACTGTTAGACTAAGCTGATGATTGGACCAACCTAAAGAGGCTGATTAAATCTAATTGGAAGTTGGCTTTAGGTCTAGACTTAAATTTTTAAAGCCCACAAAATGTTTAATGCAAAAAATAATATTCCTCTAGAAGCTAAAGCTAATAGAAAAATTGATAGTT